TCAAACCATAATTAAAATTCCCAAACCTAAACCAAACCGTTTTTGACCGATTTGGTTTGGTTCAAAACCATTTCGTTGACGGGTCCACGTGGCACCAAACCCCCGATTTCGAAATTGCGGTTTCGGTTCGGTTTTTCGATTTGACGGTTTTTGCTTACTGCCCTAGTTACTTCTTCTGAAGTTTTTGGTTGGTATTTCTCTTGTACTTTTCTTTTTCGAGGTATGGGGTCTTTTGAACCAATTGGTCGACTACGCTTCTGGCATATTTGAGATTCATTTGCTATAATAAATTGTCGTGCAGTGACATTAATTTTTGCTGAATATTTTCTACTGGTATATATGACTTTATCACTTTTCTTGTGTCAACAAATACATTTGGTAATTGATTTGTAACTCGTTGCAAATGAATAATTTTTTCAACCACTTGCTGACATTGATTACTGCGGCTATCAAAGTGAGTTAGAGTTGTTTCATTCCAAGAAATTTTATCTTATTTATCATGATGTAGTTTTTTCCTCCCAAAATTAGGAAAGTCATTTTATCAAAATGACAATCTGCAAAGCATGTAATAAATAAATCACCTATTAAAAGTTAAAGATACTTAATAATAGATGGTGAATCAAAACCCACATAAATTTCAAGTTTTCGTTGGGGACCCATTTTAGTCCATTTGGGGGTGAAATAGGGATTTGAACATCACAACCAAAAGCCCGCAGGTGAGTAATATTATGTTCATGACCAAATGCTAGTTGCAAAGGTAAATATTAATAATATGTTGTTGATCTGATACGAACTAACGACGTAGCATGTAACATGGCATGACCTCAAAAAGAAGTTGGGAGTTTTGTTTTCTTGAGTAATGGTCTATCAATAAGTTATAGACGTTTAATAAATGACTCCGCTAAACCATTTTGTGTATAGTCATGCGCAACCGAATGCTCAACAAAAATCCCAATTGGCATGCAATAATTATCGAATGCTTGTGATCTAAATTCAGCAACATTATCAAGATGAATAGTCTTGATTGAATAATCGGGAAATTGC